TTTGTTCTTTTGTGGGATCCTTGCCGGCAGCTAGGGAACGAACCGAACGAACCGGCGTTGCGGAGGCTGTGGGCAGCCTTGCAGCCCAGCGCTCAACCGCTGCACCACCAGGGGAGGCCCTGATGTGCCCATTTTCACACAGGCATCTAGACTGAAGTCATAAAATTTTAGCACAAACAGGCACTTCCCCAATGAACAGTGACATTTAAGATACAACTAAGTAAAATCTATTATCAAATCTATTTTTAATAGAGGCCCTGCAGTGTTGGAGGAAAGAGCATCCTAGTCTGGGAAGTTTTCTGTGAACTATAACATGGAAGCAGTTAAAGTGGATTTCCAAATACCCCGGAAGGAAAAAATTTTAAAATGTCTAATCTGTTGTAGACAATTAAAATGTCTAATGGTCTGAGAACACTCAGAATGACTCAGTGGTTCACCGTTGGGGTCCGGGCTGATAATTCTTGATCACATGTGATAATTTCAACTCTGCCACTTAGTTTCATTCCCTGAATTTTGCACTATTGTCTTGATGGTTTTACAAACACTTACAACTCCTCGTCACTGCAGCACCCTAGAGCCTTGCCTCCTCTGGAGCATCGTCATCCTCTTTTTCTGATACCGCGCAGAATTGTTCTGCCTCCAAGAATTCAGACTGAACTGGCTGCTGAGCCCCCCATACCCCAGCTTCCTACCCCTTCCTTGTTCTTCTCATCCCTACCATACGACTCCTTTGTTCTCATAGCCCTCCCCTTATATACCCCATTCACATCCTCTGTCCGGTTCTTTATGACCTCACTGAGCCTGCTCCTCTCCCCTCCACCCAATGGTATTGTCCCTGACCTTCCTTACTGCTTGGGGTTTCCTTATTTTGTGTGCCTTTACAGTTAGTTGGCTTCCACGTTTCACAGGTGAAAAAAAGTGGTAACTTCAGGCTAATGAAGGAAACATACAGCTTTTGATTTTTCACATGAGAAACTTTATACTGGAGGGAAAGAATCAGTTCAGCATCGGAGTACTGTTAGTGTTTGCACTCCCAAAATGCTCATTCCAAAGCACACTGATGAGGTTTGGTTGGGTAGCAAAAGGAAGGAAATGTTTTCCTGAATATACCTTGTTCTGGAAAGGTTTTAAAAGATACTCATGTAAACAAATGAATGGATGTTCTCTAAAGTGGTCATTTGTAAGAAATAGGTCAGGAGCCTTGCACACCTCTCTCTTCTGCTCGCTTTCTGCGCTTTCTCCTGTAATAGAAATGGTATGTGTTAGATAGAGAACTATTTTCCAGTTAGGAATTTCTAACTTTGCAGAATTTTAGGAAGTATATTGAGCTTCTGAAATTCGTGGATGTGGTGGACGTCCATAACAGCACAGACACAGGGAGAGGATCAGGCCTCCACTGCTCGGGCACCTTCCTGCAGCAGAAATTGTATGTTTAAGCTCTTTTTGCATTTGTCTTAGCCCTTTTCTAGAAGTAGCGTCCCAATCTTGATCCTGGACAACATTAAGTACAAAAAGGTCTCTATGGAGATTTACCCCTGTATCCCACAGGTGAAAGTTCAAAGACATGCTTTCACAGCATTACTTTTTCCATTCCCAAATTTTTGGCATATTAAATAAAAGGTAGGAATGGTTTCTTACATGTTTAATTTACCCAGAGGAGTACTGGGCATTAACACTGTCATGGAAATAAGGATAAACAATGTGGGAGGAACAGAATGCCAGGTTGTGTGCTGGGGATGTGCATCTGAAAACTGCCTGAGGCTGCATCCTCAGCTGTTTCCGTGTTTACCCCTAGCTTTGTAGATGGGGAAAGGCTGGGGGGGTATCCTTGACAAGTTGGCCGCCTGGGCTTGCTTTCAACCAATGTGAACAGAAATGCAAAAGAAAACATGAAATCTGTCATATGGGAGCAGGGAGGTTGAGAGTTTATTTGCTTTCTTTTTAATGGAAAGAATACTTGGTATACCAGTGAAATTTAACCGTTTTGCAAATCCCTTTTCCCTGTCTCAAAATTAGTGAATTAAAAATATTCAAGAAGGGGCCTCCCCGGTGGTGCAGCGGTTGAGCGCTGGGTTGCGAAGCTGCCCGAAGCCTCTGCGGCGCCGGTTCGATCCCCGGCTGCTCCCCGGCCACCAGAGGAGGGTCCCACATGGCGCGCAGACCTCTCCTGCCGCCCGCTGCTCCCCTCAGCAGTGTACTTCAGTCCTTCTGCCTGCTCTGCTCCCCGCTCTGGCTCTGGTGAATTCTCTCGCCCTCCCGTGCTTCTGACTGTACCCAGTGCTTGTATAAATAAATAAATAAATCTTAAAAAAAAAAAGAAACACCAAATCTTTAAAAAAAAAAAAATATTCAAGAATTTCTTTGTAAAAGCTTTCATCCTTTCCCTTAATTTGCCCTTCTTTGGATTTGAAAGTTGTTCTAACTCTTCATAATCTAATCTCTAGCCCAAAAGTGTGGGCCCAGGCTTTGGACTGACGCACCTTGTTCAGGGCAGTCCCTGGGGTTATGGGAATCCACTGATAACCATGACTCGGGGTATTCCTCCCTCTGTGTTACAAACAGACCTCTTGAATAGTTATGATGGGAAAATAAAGGAAATGGGCTTTGCAGAATTCTAGCTCATCTTACACTCTCCCCTAACTAGTAAATGCTTTTAAGACAGTCAGTCCACAAAGATGGATGGACTGAGATAGGATGTCTTCATAGTCCAGCCAGGGGCTGAGGCTTCAGGCAGAGAGGCCACTTAACCCTTGGAAGGTTATTAGAACCTGTGGTCTGTCTCTGCCTTCACAGTTTCTGGAGCCATCCACTGGCAGAAGGCCAGTTTGAGAGCATTTGGTTCAGGTATCTAATCCTGCCCTGTGGGACAGTAGCCAGTTCTGAAGTTTCTTTTCACTTTTTCACCTTTGGTGTAATACCATCTGTTGAAAGAATAGTTGACAGGCATCTGGAAATGGAGGGAATGTAGCTTACTGAGATTACCTTTCCTAGGTCTGTGACTTACTGGGTCTCTCATGGCCTTCTGGACTTCATGTTCTGTTATTTATTCATCTCTGCCTTTGGCAAATATTAAAAATGAGAGTAGCCAACATTACTAACCACTTTACTATATTCCCAGTCACTATCCTGAACATTTGACTCCTGCAGGCCTCATCACACCTAGGACATAAGAGCTTTTATCCCTATATCCCTATCTCAACAGAGAGGTTAAATAATTTGCCCCAGGTCACACAGCTAATAAGTGGCAAAGAAGAATAAAAATCTAGATAGCCTGGGATCAGTCTTTGCATACTTAAGTAACACCCACTCTGGGCAGTACTACCAGCCTCTGCCTCAGGAGGCTAGGTGGTTAGAAGATGAAACTAAAAGATAGCCTTTCTGAAACCCAGTCTGACTGTCTTAGTCTCCCAACTATAAAAGAGTAATAGCAGCGGCTTCATTGAGCCCACTTTGCTACCTCCTTATTTTATTTTTTTAAAGATTTATTTATTTATGCACAAAGGAAGTGGGGTACAGGCCAGAGGTGCAGGGGGTGAAAGGATTCACCAGAGACAGAGTGGGGAGCAGAACAGGCAGACTGACTGAAATACACTGCTGAGGGGAGCAGTGGGCGAGTCAGGAGAGGTCAGCTGCACCATGTGGGTAGCTCCCTGGCCAGGGATTGAACTCATGCTGCAGAAGCTGCGGACAGCTTCCTAGGTTGCCGTTTAACCCCTTGCACCACCGGGGAGAACCTGTCCTTATTTTAGGTTTACACACTTCTCCCGGCTCCACAGAAAGCCAGAGCTAGATGTTGACCCTTGCCTAGTACCTCATAGTGTCTTGCCTTGAGGACAGTGGGCCAAAGCTCAGAAGATAGAGGTGTTATTTTTGAGGACTCCCCCATGCAGTCTTGAATACCGATTCTAGAGGCCAGCAGCCTCCTGCTGTGATTTCCAGCTCTCCAGCAGTCTTAAGGCCACTCTTGTCGGGGTCCAGATTTTAGGACTCCCACCTTTCTGAAAACTGTTCATCTTCTGAACATCCGTGACAATCAGACTATAGTGTGGCAAGTTCCAGAAGGGAGCAGAAGGAAGTTGAGCAAGGATTTGGCATCTTCAGGTTAATTACAGGGGGTAATAAAGACTACTCAAAAGATTTTCTGGAAAAAGATGGTCCCAAGAGCAGCAACGTTAAGTATTAGTCACAGACTAACCCAATATTTGACAGTTCTCTCCTTGGCAACGAGATGCAGTGGGGAATACAAGTGTCTTCATGGAGATTATTAGAAAAAGGAGAAGACAAACAAAAACATTCCATAAGAATGTCAAGTGCAGCAGCCCTCATCCATGGTCATGCTTGTCTGTGGTTTCAGTTACTTACTTGCCCTTTCAAAATACTATGGCAGTAAGATATCATCTTATGCAATAAGACATACCAGATTAACAGAACTTTAGTTACAATACATTGTTATAATTGTTCTATTTTATTATTGGTTATTGTTGTTAATCTCACTGTCCCTAATTTATAAAGTAAACTGTACCATGGGTAAGTGGGAATGGGGGAAAACAGTGTATGTAGGGTTCAGTAAGATCTAGTTTCAGCCAGTCTCTTGGGGACTTGGAATATAGCCCCCATGGATAAGGGGAGAGTACTGTGATGGTTAGTGCACCCACAAAAAAATGAGGCAAAAGGGGAAGAGTGTGCATATAGGGATAGGGTGGGGTACTTGATAGAAAGCCATCCTCAAGGAAGTGGTATTTGAGCAGAGACTTGAACGAAACAGGAACAAACTGTTACTGTAATTTGGGGCATAAATCCACAAGTGCCATGCCGTTTCGCCTGACTCTTGGTCCAGAGTTCTAATGATTGTCAAGGACCCCCTGAATGGTAGTGAAATTGCTAGCAGGGAGACTCAGGGCACAGTGCACTTGGTGCTCTTTCAGTATGTGTGCCAAGAGAGGTGGTTCACCTTGGCACTTCCCATTGTGCTAACGGTGCTGTTTTCTTTCTTCGTTTAGTTTGAAGGATGACCTCTAGGAAGAAAGTGTTGCTGAAGGTTATCATCCTGGGAGATTCTGGGTAAGTGTTTCTCACACATTTGAGCCAAAAAGATTGGCTTGGATTTAAACTTCACCTCTTTAGAGCCCATGCCATCCATGCTGACGTCTGCCACTTCTTTTTTGAATAGCTGTGATGTTAGGGGCCTAGATCTACCTGCTGTTTGGGGGCACAGCTGAAATTTTGAATGATGCTTTATTTTGTAACCCTTTGTTCCCTGATTTTTGGCATGGGTTGTGAAACAGCTTCAGTATTTAAACTCAACTAATAATAGTTTCATGGAATCCTTTTTTTCCAAGCTTGTGAATCAGGGGGTTCCATTTATGTAGATGTTTTGCCATTGGCATCATACCTACCAGGTGTGGGGTTTGGGGTTCACTGTATAGTAATCATGCTATTGCTCTGCCTGATTCAGCCCTGGGTTTGAAAGAACCTGGACTAGAGAACTGGGTTTTGATCCTAGATCTGCCAGTAACCAAAATCTAACTCTTTAGTAGCTAATGAAGATTATGTGGTAGGCTTTTCAGACTCAATGTCTGAAGTGACCTCTGAAAGCTTTGACTAGAATCACTACATAATGCAAAATTAGTAAGTTTATTCCAAAGTTTTTTATCTGGCTTATAAAAGGCAAGTGATTTCCTGCTGTTACTGCTGTTTCCGTCACCTCCATTACTTTTTAAAAGTCAGCATCTGTCCGGACGAGTGAGATGTAGGTCTTGTTGGTGGAATTTATTTTTTTATTTTTTAATTTTTTTTGTTGGTGGAATTTAAACTCACACTCTCTCCCCCTCCCCACCTCCTCTTGGGTTGCTTCTCCCCATGTTCCCCTTTTCCTCTCCCTGTTTGCCCCCCCCCACCCCCCCATTCCTGGTGATACTGATATGCGGTCAGAATGGAAAGTTTCTGCTGTTAGGCCTGTGATACCCAGACTTGCCTAAAAAGAATCACCAGGCCCTTGTTCAATTAAAGATTCATGACTTTTTCCCTTTAGACATTCTGATTCAGGTAACTTGTGTTAAAGAACACCACCTTAGCTATGTATCTTCTTCTAGTTCCTCTGTGTATGCAGATGAGTATGTTTCTTTGTGGGAAAGAAAATCATTGACTTTGAGGAAGGCTTTTGTATTTTCTTTAACCCTGCCCTCACTGACCTGATTACTAAAAAAAAAAATCACGATTGACTCCTGCGGAGTTTTCCTACTGAAAAACATCCCTGGAGGAGCTTATGTTGAGGTAGATTCTAGTTTACTGTTATATTGCTGCTTTTTCTGCTTTGGATTTTAAATGTTGAAGCAGCAGGTTGGCTGCCTGGTATAGAAGTCTGCTCAAAGCCAGTGGCCTCCTGTTATTACTTCCTTGAACTAAATAGCAACCGCGGGATATTTTTAGAATAGTGGAGTGATCTTACTGCTGAAGCTTCTTTTAGAAGGAGACTATTTGCTGGCATCCTTCTGGAGGGAAAAATTATACCATCTGAGTTGCCTGTACTAAAACAGCTTTTCAAATAAGAAAGTTCTCAACATCTGGCGCACATCTGTATCTTGTATTTTTATCCCAAGAGAAAGTACATGCTCAAATGAGTAATGCTGGGGAGTTTGCTGGCACCGCTCTCTGTTGTGAGGGTAGTTCCTTGTTCTCTTTCAAGACATGCAGGTTCCTTCAGAGCTATAAATGTCAACCAGTTTTCATTTCCTTCCTAATTGACTTACACTTGTGGATTTTCTTCAATTTCAGAGTTGGTAAGACATCACTCATGAACCAGTATGTGAACAAGAAATTCAGTAATCAGTACAAAGCCACAATAGGAGCAGACTTTCTGACAAAGGAGGTGATGGTGGATGACAGACTAGTTACTATGCAGGTAAGCACATGTTTCTACTTTGCCAACCAACCTGTGTTAGTTCATTCAGTATGAACCTTATTTCATGGCTAGACATTTTCCCTCCCTGATTTTCAGATCCCACTATTATATTCATGCATAATTGGCTCCAGGTAGTATACTAGATAAAATACAATACACTCCATTAAACTAGAATTTCAGGTAAACAGTAAATAATTTTTCTGTAAGTGTTTAAATATTTTGTAGAAGTACATCTCAAATATTGCATGAGACATACTAAAAAAAATTTGTTTCCCAGAGTTCAAATCTAACTGGACTTCCTGTTTGCTTGCTTGTTTGTTTGTTTACCAAATTTGGCAGTCTACAAGTCTCTGTATTCCGTGCTTTAGGCCAGAAAATCTTTGTGTCTCTTCTAGGTGGTTATAACATCCATTAAAGTATCTTCCCTGTTTTCTGACTTCTTTTAATCTGTCCTATCTGTAGCTGCCAAAGTTTTGTTTCTGTTAAGCAGGTCTAGGTTTTTCATGTATCACCTTATTTTTTCAAGGGCTTCACTTTCAACAGTTAGGATGAAATACAGATTCCTTCATAGAACTTTTTGAAAACTTTCACGTTCTGGCTACAGACTCTTCCCTTACTTTTTTCTTCTGACAGTTCTTCCAGATCATGTGCTGCTCATACAAACCTATTCTTCCATGTCACTACTTCCAGCATCTTGAAGTCTCGAACTTTTAGCCAGATGTTGTCTTTTGAAATTACTCCTCCACAACACTTATTCCTTCCTATTAAATGACAGGAGGGTAAACCTCTAGAGACAAATAGAATCCTTATCCCACTGTCGTCCTAGTAAGCCCTGGGCTCACTGCAGTGATTGAATGATACAGGTTACAGGTAGAAGTTTTTATGTGTTGACCTCAAACCGTGACAAGGTCCCAGAGTAAAAGGACTCTGGACACTTGAATCACATGTCCAGGACAGACCTAATAGGGACACACACATATACACATACCACATACATAGACATGTTTAAAATATAACCAAAGCAAGACTCTCCCTGGTGGTGCAGGGGATAAAATCTCAGTGCTATCAAGCTGTTGCCAACCATTGCAGCATGAGTTTGAGCCCCAGTCAGGGAGCTGACCCACATGGTGCAGCAGGCCTCTCCTGTCTCACCCACTGCTCCCCTTAGCAATGTATTTCAGTAGATCTGCCTGTATTGCTCCCCACTCTGTCTCTAGTGAATCCTCTCACCCCTCACACCTCTGACCTACACCCCAGCTCTCGTATGTATAAATAAATAAAAATAAATCTTTAAATGAAATATAACCAAAGTTTCAATAATCCAAGTTGACAGAAAAGGAAATTTCCAGATTACAGGAAAGATGGAACTGAAGTAAGTTTCAGGGCTCTTACCGTAGTTATTTGCAAGTTTATAACAAGGACTAGGGTTTTGTTAATCAATATGGCAGGGAATGTGCTCACACAGAGGAGGGAAAGCTGGAACAGAGAATACCGTTGGAAAAAGGGGCGTGCACAGACACTCACACTCATGTAAACCTTGGAAAGATGTGAAACCAACACGAAAAACCTCAACCCAAGGAAGTGGCAAAGCTTTTGTGTGAAATATTGGCCTGGACTTTGTCTCTTTACTTCTTTGCCGGAGAATCCCAGTCCCAATAAGCTCGTATGTGGATTCTCCGTTTATACTCTGCAGGTACAGGAGAATTTAATACAAATCCTGTTCACTCCTGGCAAAAAGTAAAGACTGAGCTATAGAAGCACTTACAACCTCAGGACAGAAGTTGAGCTTATAGCCACATGAGGAAATAAGGTACCACAAAAAATGTTCACAATGACTAGACTTTTAAAAAAAGGAATAGATACCATAACAAACAGATCACTATAAAAAATGAGGATATTAAAAACTTAGACTTCAAGAAGTGAAAAAAATCAGTCACTGAAGTATACTAAGTGACCAGTAAAAGTACATGCTGAGGGCCTCACTGGTGGAGCAAGGGGTTAAGCACAGCACTGTGAAGCTATCCGCAGCCTCTGAAGCACGAGTTCGATCCCCGGCTGGCCAGGGAGCTACCCACATGGTGTAGCAGACCTCTCCTGTCTCTCCCGCTGCTCCCTTCAGCAGTGTATTTCAGTCAGTGCCTGTTGTGCTCCCCACTCTGTCTCTGGTGAATCCTCTCACCCACTGCACCTCTGGCCTATACCCCAGTTGTTGTATGCATAAATAAATACATCTTTTTAAAAAATTAATTAATTAATTAATTTGGGGGACTTCCCTGGTGGCACAAGGGCTTAAGTCTCAGCACTATGAAGTTGTCAGCAGCCCCTGTAGCACAAGTTCGATCCCCAGCCAGGGAGCTACCCACGTGGTGTGGCAGACCTCTACTGTTTCCCCTCAGCAGTGTATCTCAGTGGATCCACCTGTTCTGTTCCCCACTCTGTCTCTGGTGAATCCTCTCACCCCCCGCACCTCTGGCCTATACCCTTGTTCTTGTATGCATAAATAAATAAACATAAATTAATTTAGGAAACTCCCCCCCCCCAAGATTGATTGATTGATTGATTGATTGATTGATTTATACAAGCACTGGGTACAGTCAGAAGTGCGGGGAGGGTGAGAGAATTCACCAGAGCCAGAGGGGAGAGCAGAGCAGGCAGACTGGACAAAGTACACTGCTGAGGGGAGCAGCGGGTGGCAGGAGAGGTCTGCGAGCCATGTGGGCCCCTCCCCGGTGGCCGGGGATCGAACTGGCGCTGCAGAGGCTGCAGGCAGCTTCACAACCCAGCGCTCAACCACTGCGCCACCAGGGAGGCCCAATTTTGGAAACTAAGAATAACCTCCCCCCCAACTTTTCACCTTTTCAATCTAAAATGTAGAAAAGGTTCTGTGTCCATGTTCATTACTAAGTTATTTATAATTTTAGAAAATTGGCAGCTATATATATTTTTAAAATCAGGAGTGAAGTGGTTTTCTGAGTTTGTTGGGCAACAATAAAGTTGTGGGCTGTTGCCAGAGTGTGTTGTGGTGTTTTGCAGAGGTGATATGGGCAAACATGCAGACTGACCTGTGGTATAAGATATTTCAGCTACATAAAACCCTCCGATGTGCACACCTCGAATAAGCCATGAGTTAATGATGATCTCAGGATGCCAGGGTTGGGTGGGTGGATGTGTGGCCTTTGTTCTGCTTATCCAACTGTTTACGTAATGTTACTTCTCTAATGAGATTTTGTTTTAATTTAGCCTACATTTATTTTTAAAATTTTCTTCCCTGCTTTCTCTTTGTAGAGTAGTTGTCTATGTCTGCTATATTTTATGACCAAGTTATTGTTGATTGCTCTTCCATGTTGGCCCCTTCTTAGGAGAAAAGGCTCGTTTTTCCACGTAGAATTACCTACTTGCTATAGGGCTTTGGAAAACTGAAGCAGCACAAAGGCAAGCATTGCCAGCCCTGCTGCTTCGCACCTGCAGTCTCAAGCCCATTTTCTCTATACTTAACATACTTTGCTTGTTGTACGGGGACAGCGCACCACATAGTCCTCCTGCAGATAGAATAAGTGACGTTGAATTGGTTTTATTGCCCTTCACCCTTCCTCACTGCCTTCTGGTTCTCCTGACTGGCTGTTTTCTTTACCCAGTGGTCTGAGCGCTGCCGTGCAACATGTGGACATTCATGATAGCCTGCTTCTGCAGTCAGGACTGACCTCCAATGGCCACTAGGACACATTCTGTTTCAGAAAGCTGCTTCCAGGCCTCCCTGGTGGCGCAGCGGTTGAGCGCTGGGTTGCGAAGCTGCCTGCAGCCTCTGCAGTGCCAGTTCAATCCCCAGCTGCTCCCCGGCCACCGGAGGAGAGTCCCACATGGCGCGCAGACCTCTCCTGCCGCCCGCTGCTCCCCTCAGCAGTGTACTTTGGTCCTTCTGCCTGCTCTGCTCCCCGCTCTGGCTCTGGTGAATTCTCTCACCCTCCTGCGCTTCTGACTGTACCCAGTGCATGTATAAATAAATAAAAATAAATCTTTAAAAAAACAAACTAATAACAACAACAACAAAAAAAAGAAAGCCACTTCCTATAGTGATATTTGCAGGTCGTGGGTCGCATTTCCTGAGAGTGGAATGGGCTGCTAAGATCGGCGTCCTGCCCTCAGACCTGTGTTCCTTAGTCTGTCCCGTCAATCATGTTGTCCGGGACTGACATGTGCTGATTGTGCAGGAAGGAAAGAACTAAAATGGGTTTCTCAGAACTGCCCCTGGTGGAAGCAACCTTTGGGCTTTTGGAATCGTTATTCAACAAAAGGCTGAAATGTGCACACTCTGCTTGACTGACAGTGGGACCACAGATGGCTCCTTCCAGCCTGTCCTTACCTTGGCCTGTTCTTGGCTGATTGGTCTGTGAGCCAGAGTTTCGTCTTTGTAGTCACACTGTTTTAATAGATGTTCTTTAAGGGGCTCTAATGCTGCCATTTCCAGGCTTTTATACAGTTTTTAAGTTCTAACTCTGCTCCTGCTCCTGTTTGTCACTATGTCATTTGAACTGGCCCCCAAGAGTAAACAAAACCATCTGGGTTTGCATGTTATGTTTTCGTATTCCTTTTGGAAAACATTTTGGGACATGTTTTAGACAACTTAAATTTTACATAACTGTGTTCCCATATGGCCTTCTGGATCAAAAAAACCAAAGAGATCTAACACCCCAAAATTCAAGACTCCGTGTCAGCCTCCTCACACACTGACAAGTTCTTAGTCAGGGTTGTTTTGGATGCTCTGGTGTTGAAATTCCTGAACTGAAGTTACTTGTCTGTGTGTGCCCCTCATGCACCCCATTTCGTGCAGCACCTCCAGGAATAAATGCTTTGTCTCACACAGATCTGGGACACAGCAGGACAGGAACGGTTCCAGTCTCTTGGCGTGGCCTTCTACAGAGGTGCAGACTGCTGCGTCCTGGTGTTTGACGTGACTGCCCCCAATACCTTCAAAACCCTTGATAGTTGGAGGGATGAGTTTCTCATTCAGGCCAGTCCCCGTGATCCGGAAAACTTCCCCTTCGTTGTGTTGGGAAACAAGATTGACCTCGAAAACAGACAAGTAAGTGCTAATGATGGCAGGAAGCATATATTAGTATGATTACTGAGTCTTAGAATGGGCCTTCTTTTAAAAGCAGCCGCTGACTTTCAGGTGACAGGTGCTGTTTTTAGCTCTGATTTGGTAAAAAGCAGCTGCCTCGAGTACTTGGCTGCTTGGCATGTCTGCAGTGTGTGCCATGTCTGACGAGGCTCTGAAGGTGCACGTTTGGGCCAGCTGCCTTGGAGAGTCCGGACCCAGGAGGCCCCCAGCCAGCTGTGACTTTGGGCCCTTGCCTTTGCCCTCTGCGCCTCAGTTCTCTTTCTGACTTGAAAGAAAGGAGTTAGGTTCCTTCTTTCTCAGGTGCCCACTCAGCACCTAAGGACTGGTTTGGATCTCCACGTGTGCCAAAGATCGCTTCAGGTAAAGTTGCTCTTGTTTACGCTCAAATAACATTTCTCTCAGGAACACAGCCACTTTGATTAATTATAGCCAGAGTTTTTTCTGCTGACCTTTTTTCTCTTTTCCTAAGTGATTTAGGTGAGGGAAGGAATTACAGTATGAGAGGCAGGGGTGCCAGTGACAGCTGCAGAATTCTGTGGTGACAGGCTGTGTAGCACAGGTGATGTAATGTTAGCAGCAGCATGGAAGGGACTGCAGACTTCAAGGTCAAGCTGCCAGGCGTTTGGACCTCTGAGGCCCCAGAAGAGAAGATTCATTTCTTACTGGGCTGACTTTTCCCTTTACATGTTGCTGATAAATGTAGGTTAAGGTCAGATGTGTAAGTGTAGGTGAGAGTCTGGGCTTGCGTCCTAACTATACTACACAGCCCCACTAGGTGTCCTTGAATGGGTCTGCAGCTCTCTCCCTCCCCTCTAGGGCCTCTCGGCTATGTCTGCCCCCTGCAGGTAATGCAGGTTACATGGGGGGGGGGGGCTGATTCTGAGGTCCAGGTGGCTAGCGGTACTAGCTCTGTTATGAACACCCATGCGCCCTGCTTTTTCTTCCAGGTGGCCACAAAGCGGGCACAGGCCTGGTGCTACAGCAAAAACAACATTCCCTACTTTGAGACCAGTGCCAAGGAGGCCATCAACGTGGAGCAAGCGTTTCAGACGATTGCACGGAATGCACTTAAACAGGTGGGTCTCTGACAACTGTCTGGCTCCCTCTGGTGATTGACCATCGGCACAGTTTCTGCCTGATTTCCTTGTCCTGAATCTTCTTTCCAAGCTGACTCTTCCCATGTAGCCAGAAAAACTATGTTTATCTGGGAAGTTAACTTCCGGAAATGACACTTGTTTGAGAATCATCTAAAAGATAAAGAGGCAGGGAAGACTTGAACTGGCGCCACCCTTCTTGACTGGGTTTGTTCTTAATTCTGTGCAAGCTTACTGGAAGATCAGGCCATTAGGAAACCCTGGTCAGATAGTTCCTTCTATTTACGGAGGGAGAAATTTGTATCCAGATCCCACCTCCAGTCCTCATCCTTAGATAAAGTTTTTTTTTTTTTCATCACATCCGTGCCTCCATCCTCTCAGCAGCAAAATAAGAACACCTGCTTTACAGACAAGTTGTAGAGATTAGGTGAGATGGACTGACTTTTGTCGTTCTCATAAATGGTTACATCTCATCACCAGACACATTAGCTTGACTAATGTATGCCGAGAATAAATTTTCCTGCATCTTCTCTAAAACAGTTACTTGTTGGTACACTTGAATTAAAGTCTCTTGATTCAGCACATTGAGGCCCTTGAGTTAAGGCAAGGTACACCAGGGTCATTAGTGCCCTGTGGTGGTCCATATGTGTGTGCTGGGGTGGGGTGCAGGTGAGGTACACATCAGGTGGATGTAGAGAACATTTGAAGGAGCACATGCCTGGTGGCTGTAAAGGGCCAGGCAGCTTCTGCTAGCTACAGAAACCTAGGTTTATGGAAGGAAGTCCCTCTGAGATACATTGATAACAGTGGTAAGAAAGTGACCAAGCAGCAGACCTGGGGCTTTTTTTTTTTTTTTTTTTTTTTTTTTTTTAAAGATTTATTTATTTATGCATGCATGCAAGAGCTGGGGTACAGGCCAGAGATGCAGGGGGTGAGAGGACTTTCCCCTCTCCTTTTAGCCCACCCTCACAGCTAGATGAATAACCTAGTGGATTTCCTAATATAAATTGCATGGGAATCAAAATCTGTGTAGGGAGTGGTTTTTCACCAGTTACCTGTTGACTGGTATTGGAGTTTTCCTGTCTGTTGCTCTCCCTATAGCTTTATTATGATGTCTTCATTTCTGTGAGCTAGCCTCAGGAGTAGGATTGTTAGATTGAAAGGTATATGTGCCTTGTTGAGAGATGATGCCACATCCCTTTCCCCAAGGGCAGCGTTGCTCCAGAGTCCTCTATAACCATTCTACCAGCAAGCGGCGGCCTCATCTCTAACTCCACCGACACCCTGTGGTCTTCAGGTGTGTAGCAGTCACCTTCACAGCTGCTGGTCCTCTCAGCCCTCTTTCCTCAGGCTTGGCACTTCGTGCTTCCTCTGCTGCAGACGGCAGTACGCCGCACTGGCGTAGACACCCAGTATTTTCTCTGAGCTACTTGTGAATTGACATGAACCTCACCTGCATTGCAATTGAGTTTTTCCAACTCTGCCATCTGGTGAAATAGTCTTAGGCATTAAAAAAAGAAGGAGAAAAGGCAGTTTTAGTCAATTATGCCATTTAAAATTTCTGGGTTTCCTGTGTGTGGATTACATGTTGTCTCATTGAACTGGAATTTATTTTGGTTTTTATCAGAGGGGTTTTCCTTTTTCTTTCAGAGGGAAAACCAGTTGTTTCAATTAGCAGCTAGTGGTTAAACCGCTTTCCCTGTTGGACTGAAATATTACCTTTGTTGTATTAAATGTCCGTGTTACTGGGATCTAGTTCTGGTCTCCCCAAACTGTTTTAGTGGGTGTGTGTGTTCCTTGCCTGGATCATCCTGACTTGACTGTTTTCAATTTTATGGTCTTAATTCTGGTAAGATGTTTCCCTTCACTACTCTTTTTTGTGTTTTTTGTTGTTGTTGCTGCTATTTTGGTGCATTTTCCATTTAGAATCAGAGTTCCATTAATCCCAAAATAAAACACTATTGAGATCCTGACTGGCATTGCATTATAGCTGTTATATTAGTCAGCTCTGGCTTCTATAACAAATGACTGCAGATTGGGTGGATTAAACAACAGACATTTATTTCTTCACAGTTCAAGGGGCCAGAAGTCCACAATTAGGTTGCCAGCAAATTATTTTTTTTAGTGAAGCGGCTCTCTTCCCAGCTTGCACACTGCCCCCTTCTTCCTGTATCCTCATGGCCTTTCTTTTTTTTTTTTTTTAATGAGGCATGAGTTTTTATTTATTTATTTATTTGTTTGTTTATACATGCACTGGGTACAGTCAGAAGCGCGGGAGGGTGAGAGAATTCACCAGAGCCAGAGCGGGGAGCAGAGCAGGCAGAAGGACCAAAGTACACTGCTGAGGGGAGCAGCGGGCGGCAGGAGAGGTCTGCGCGCCATGTGGGACCCTCCTGTGGTGGCCGGGGAGTAGCCGGGGATCGAACCGGCGCCGCAGAGGCCGCAGAGGCTTCGCAACCCAGCGCTCAACCGCTGCGCCACCGGGGAGGCCCCTCATGGCCTTTCTTTTATGGATGTATGCACACAGACTCACACACACCGTGAGTGAGCACGCACAAGCTCTCTGGTGTCTCACATAAGACTAATCTTGTCATTTATTTATTTTTAAAAAGATTTATTTATTTATGCATATAAGAACTGGGGTTCAGGCCAGAGGTGTGGGGGGTGTGTGATAGGCTTCACCAGAGACAGAGTGGGGAACAGAACAGGCAGATTGACCAAAGTACACTGCTGAGGGGAGCAGCGGGTGAGTCAGGAGAGGTCTGCTGTGCCATGTGGGTAGCTCCCTTGCCAGGGAACAATCTCGTGCTGCAGAGGCTGCGGACAGCTTCATAGGTTGCATCTTAAGGCCTTGCGCCACCAGGGAGTCCCTCATTCATTTATTTTTAAAGATTGATTTTTATTTATTTATGCATAGAAGAACTGGGGATGTAGGCCAGAGGTGCAGGGGGGTGTGGCGGTGAGGGGGTTCACCAGAGACAGAGTGGGGAGCAGAACAGGTAGATCTACTGAAATACACTGCTGAGGGGAGCAGTGGGTGAGACAGGAGAGGTCTGCTTCGCCATGTGGGTCTCCTGGCGGCGGGGGATCAAACTCATGCTGCAGTGGTTGGCAATAGATTCATAGTGCTGAGACTTTAACCCCTGCACCACCAGGGAGACCCCCAGGGCTGATTTAACCTTAATTTCTTTATCCAAATATAGCCACTTGAGGGAGGGTGAGTTAAACATAACAGCTATCATTTCAGGTCTTGTGTTTGTTGTTTTGTTTTATTTTATTTTAAAGATTTATTTATGCATATAAGAACTGGGTACAGGCCAAAGGTGTGGGGGGGTGAGAGAATTCACCAGAGACAGACAGGGGAACAGAACAGACAGACTTACTGAAATACACTGCTGAGGGGAGCAGTGGGCGAGTCAGGAAAGGTCTGCTGTGCCATGTGGGTAGCTCCTGACCGGGGATCGAACTCCTGCTGCAGTGGCTGCGGATAGCTTCATAGGTTGCATCTTAACCCCTTGCGCCACCCGGGAGGCCCCGTTTGGTTTTGTTTTTTTTTTTAAATCCTTCACTAGGATCTTAAAATTTTTCACAACCTTTGCCTTTCATATTAAATATATTTCTAGGTGCTGATGGGGATGTAAAAATGGTGCAGTCACTTTGGCAAATAGGCCATTCCTTAAAAATGTAAACATAGAGTTTCCATATGACTCAGCAGTTACACTCTGTATACCCAAGCAAAATGAAAACTTGTTCACACAAAAACTTGTTCATGAGTGTTCTAGCAGCATTATTCATAGGAGCAGAAAAGTGGAAATAACCCAAATGTCCATCAACTGAAATGTCCAGAATAGATAAGTCTTTTGTGACAGAAAGTAGACAAGTGGTTGCCGAGATCTTGGGAGGTGGAGTGGTGGCTGCTGTGGGCACAGGGTTCTCTTTGTCATGATAAAAAAATGTTCTGGAATTCTGAGTTCTTCTTCAACAAAACTATACTGTAAATTATGTATTCATAGAATATTTTTGTTTTTGTAACAATTGTGAATAGAATCACTTTTCCTAGAAAGCTTTTAATGAATAGCAACATTCCCTGCTTTACCTCCAGGCGCTGGAGCATTTCCTGGCACGCAGGTGCTCAATGTTGAAGTACAGATGGGAGGTAGAAACCCACCCTTCACTAGAAAGCAGACATCCTTTTAAATTGACCACACTGCCCGTGACCTCTCTCCCCAGAGCATGATAAAATTCACCCGCAGCTGGTTTCTTAGCGTGCTGCATTTGCAGACCGAATTCTCCTAAACCTCTGAAAGAAGAGAAAATGGACCCCCAGTCCAGAAAAACGAGTGGCAAATAGGAAACTGGAGGGCTGTTTTGGGAACTGAGAGGGTAACTAGTGACCTTGTAGAAATGTTAAATAAGGGTTGTCCAAAATCCAGGCCACGTAAGGTCTGATTTCCTAGGCGGCCCATACAGAAAGCATCTGTGAGCTGACAGGGCCCCAGCCCCGCCATCTGATGGCAAATGTGAGTTGGATTCTGTCCTTCCTGCTCACTGTCTGTTGTTACTCTTCCTGCTCATTTTTCTCTTCAGGATCCCCGGGGCATATCACAAAACCTGTCTTCCTCTCTTGCTCAGCCTTTCAGGGTTGAGCAACCCTGCCAGAGCCCTCCCTTCTTTGCTCTGTCTGCCCCCATGATCCGCACCCACCGAGCCAGGTGCCACTCAGGACTGGAGCGGAGTGTAGGAATGCTTCCATGCCTTGAGTAACGACCCTTTCTCTCCCTGTCCAGGAAACGGAGGTGGAGCTGTACAATGAATTCCCTGAACCCATCAAACTGGATAAGAATGACCGGGCCAAGGCCTCCACGGAGAGCTGCAGTTGCTGAAGGGGCAGTGAAAGCAGAGCACAGAGTCCTTCACAGACCAAGAACACACTTAGGCCTTCCAACACAAGTCCCTCTCCTCTTCCAAACAGAACATAAAGTGATCTCTCCTTTCCAGTTGCCAAAAGAAACCCCTCCACACAGCACACATGCAGTGCACACACACAGACCTGACACAAGCAGACAGACTCCAGTCCATACCCACGATGGCTGCGTTGGGGTCTGTCCACCACGTCGGCCTGGCATGCGGCAGGACAGCCCACTGTAGAAATCGCTCTGGTGTGGAGTTGGCATCAGAAGCTTATTCTTTTTGTCCACTGGAGAGAGAGAACTGTTTACAGTTAATCTGTGTCTGATTAGTTACCTGATTTTTTTAACGGTCTTGTGATCTTTTTACCCCTTCCCCCGACCCCCCCCCCCCCCCACCGTGAAGGCTGCCACTTGGGAAGGCTGGTGCCCCATGCTTCATTACAGGCTCACACCCAGTCTGATCAGGCTGAGTTTTGTATGTATCTGTTAATGCTTGTTACTTTTAACTAATCAGATCTTTTTACAGTATCCATTTATTATGTAATGCTTCTTAGAAAAAAATCTTATAGTACATGTTAATATATGCAACCAATTAAAAATGTATAAATTAGTGTAAGAAATTCTTGGATTATGTGTTTAAGTCCTATAATGCAGGCATATAAGATGGAGGGTTGAACCCTGACTGGATTGCAGATTGTTAGCAACTCAGAATTCAGAAATCCAGCTAGAGGCAGTATTCTGTACAGTAGACACAAGAATTATGTACGCCTTTTATCAAAGACTTAAGAGCCAAAAAGCTTTTCATCTCTCCAGGGGGGAAACTGTCTAGTTCCCTGCTGTATCTAAATTTTCCAGAAGGTTGATTTGCATAATACAGTGGTATGTGCAATGGATAAATGGCTGTTGTTTCAGAAATTAAAATTCATTTTTCTTTTTTTTTTTTTTTCCTGCTCCACACTTCAAAACACCCGTTAGATCAGCATCCTACTTGTAAGCGGGAAAGGAAACTCCTAACAGACCTGTCCTTAGTGATTTTACCTTTGTTCTAGAAGGCACTCCTTTTCAAGGTTGTGGTATCCTTAGGTTAGCAAACCTTTTTCTCTTTTTCCCCTCGATGGCCCAGGATTGCGCCTCATTGATTAACCTGTTTCTTTGGTATGGAATCCGGCAGCAGTTTTGCCGCCTCCCTAGGATCTGCCCCTACATTGTAGCTTGCTTAATGGAGCACTTCCCCTTTTCCAGAGGTCTGCATTCTAGGGTGTGGGCCGAGTTCTTCTGTAAAGAGATGAGCGTGATGCCAATAAAATGTAACAAGAACAAAGATGATCTGCTTTTGCCCTGTCTTTTTTCCTTCTTCCAGACCCTTGGCTCAGTAGAGACCATGTTAGGTAATCAGAGCCATGCTTCATCAAGCAGAAGAGCCCTTCATAACTGGGCAGGTGCGGGGCTTTGAGGCAGAAAGGCTTCTCATAGCCCCATAGTTTTTGGTTTTTGACTGAAACAAATTTTATAAAATTGGTTCTAGGTGGCACCTATTCATTTCCAGCTAGTGACTTATATACTGGAATACAAGGCCCCACTGCTAAGTCTCTCTCGCGTGAAAAATCAGCACAAAAACCTGTCCCTAGTTATTGTTTTTTTTGAATGAAGTGTTGGGGGAGGTAAATAGGAACCCCAAACAGAAAGCATTGTCCTCATAGAGGAGCAGCCACAAACTGCTGGTGACCTATGGGCTATGCGTAGCCTGTAAGTATAACTGTAACTTAGCCCTTGTGTTATTTTGATTTTTAATAGATCTAGTTGCTCACAGTTAGATATCACATAGTTCTGGATTTCTGGTTTTTCACACAAGAGAGACTAAGCAGTGGGGCCTTGTATTCCAGTATTAAAAGTCACTAGCTGGAACTGAACAGTTGCTACCTAGAACCCATTTTATAAAATTGTTTCAGTCGGTTTGAGTAGGTTTTGCAAAAGTACCTCTTTGATTGGCTCTTGAGTCCTGCTTTGCTATGCTTTTCTACATTTCCATTTGTCAGGATTCTCCATTGGTTTCTTGTGCCTGCTCTTAACTCATACTTAATGTTTTTTAAAAAATAGCATTCTTGGAAGCTCACAACCTCAGCTCCACCACTGGTTGTGGGGATGGCTTTAAGAATCTGACCAGAATCTGGGCTTAATCCATTTCATGTTTGGTCTCCAGCAGTGTGGAGTCCTCCCCAACAGGGGGCCCAGGGACTAGGCCATGGTTTGTGGACCCTCTGTGATGCTCATCTTTACATACTAGCTTGTGTTCCTCTGGTCCCAGCCTTGAGTATGACATGGAAGTGGACCTTGACCTCTGATCTCTCTCTACCCTGATCCTAAAGCTGATGATCATCCTGACATTGGCCTGTCTCATCTGATGAGCTTGAATAACACCTTGTAAGCCACCATGATCTAATCTAATTCATAGCTTGGCCTGATTTTAAACCTGGACTTGAACTTCACCCTCATCTTGTCGCTTGGTTCCCCTGAGATGACCTTGAATTTGACCCTACTTAGAAGCCCTTCAGGGTAGCATAACCCTACCTTGACATCCTTACTCTCCAACCAACTTAATATCCCAGCCCAGTGTCTGAGCTTGATTTCATCTTATACACCTGGAATTATGTACACACCATGTCTAGATTTGCTTTATCCACAGCAAATGATGACTGAAACTGAACCTTTTCACTAACCAGGTACCTTTTTTTAATTTAATTCCTACTTCGATTCACCTTAAGCATGTGCTTTTGAGAGAAACAAGTGAATTTCTCCAATAAGCAATAAGGATTTGCTTTTGAAAAGAATGTCTGGGATTGAGTTTGTTTGCACTAAAGCATTCTTTTCAGTACTCCCTAGGTTGCTCTAACAGCAAGTTACTTTTGAGAAGAAGGTGTGAATTTGTTGAAGTAACAAATTTGTTTCCACAGTATTTCTTAGTTTGATCCAAACTTGTTCTGTCTCACTGTGTGAACGTGTATTGCTATGCTTTATCTCAATTTGCTCCAACAAGCTAAAAGTTGCTCAGGACTGAGTTTGCTGCAGTAGTAAGAATCCTTATCCAAACTCCTATTCAGGTTGATCCAAGTTTCTACCTCTCAGTAAAATTATCTTTGAGATTTATGTGTGTTGCATTGCAGATTTCCACATTAGTTAACACTAACCAGCAGTGAGGTTTCCCTTTGAGTAGAATGCCTGAAAGTGACTTTGTTTGCATAGTAACAATGCTTTCCAATAGCACTAATTAGATTCATGCTAATTCACTCTACCTCACATTAAGGATGTGCCCTAGAGATATACTTAGCACTGCTTAAGTCCATCTTTGTTTACACTAACATGTAATTAGGACTTACATAAATCAAGTGATTGTGACTAAGCTTACACTAAGATATATTCATTACCACAAATTAGACTCATCCTAACTTGCCCAAACTCTCAGTAATCACTTGCTTACTTGAATGTTTATGGCTGAATTTACCTGGCTAATATGCTCAATCACTCTAAGGATGCCTAATTTTGCCCCCATTCTAAGTTAAAATTATAAAAGCCCTTCAAAGAAAACAGCAGGAAAGCTTTATGAGACTAGATTTAGCATTTTTTTTAAAATATGACACCAAAAGTACAGGTAACAAAAGGAAAAAAGTAGGTAAACTGGACCCTATCAAAAGTACCAAAGGACACTTTTGGAAATATGACCCACAAGAATGAAAATATGACCCACAGAATGGGAGGGAATACCTGTAAATCGTATCTGTAAGGGATTAATACCAGAATATATAAAGATCTATATAACTCAGTAACACATGTAATTCAAAAATGTTCAAAGGACTTGAATAGGCATTTCTCCAAAGAACATACACATGTGGTCAATACGCACATGGAAGGATGCTCATTATGTCATCTGGGGAATGTAAATCCAAACCTCTTCACTATCCATTAGCATGTCTGTTATGCAAACAAAAAATTATTGGCGGGCCTCCCTGGTGGCATAAGGGGTTAAGCACCTCACTATGAAGCAATCCACAGTCTGCTGCACTAGTTTGATCCCTGGCCGGCCAGGCTGCAACCCACATGGCTTAGCAGACCTCTCCTGTCTGGCCCGCTGCTCCCCCCAGCAGTGTATTTCAGTCGATCTGCCTGTTCTGTTCCCCTCTGTCTCTGGTGAATCCTTTCAACCCCCGCACCTCTGGCCTGTATCCCAGCTCTTGTGTGCATAAATAAATCAATCTTTAAAAAAAAATTATTGGATGTAGGGAAATTGGAACCCTGTGCCTTGCTGAAGGGAATGTAAAGTGTGTGCAACTTGTGGACGGTAGTTCGGCCATTCCTCAAAAAGTTAAAGTTACCATGTGATCCAGCAACTACACTCCTAGGTGGATGCTCAACAGAGTTGAAAGCCGGGACTCCGTGAGATGCTCAAAGATGTGCCTGACCCAGGTTTAAATGTTGTATGATTCCACTTATATGAAGTACCCCTTAGAGGAAAAATCAGAGACCAAATGTAGAGTCGAGGTAAGGAGAGGGGACTCGAGGGTTACTGTTTAGTTGGCACAGCTTGAGAATGATGGAAGGTTCTGGAAATCGTGGTGTACACCACTCAGTGCCGCCGCATCGCATGCTTCCTCACGGTCAGTGGTGCATTTGTCTTGAAGATTATTCACGCACGCAAGGCCTGGGATGGGGGCCGGGGCGGGGGCCGGGGCACGTGAAGGGATTCACCAGAGCGCGCCGGGGAAGCGAACAGACCTCCGGGAACTCGCTGAGGGGCGCAGCGGGCGGGCCGGAGAGGCCTGCGCCTCGGGGTCGGCTCCCCGGCCGGGCTGGGCCGGCGCTGGCTTGACGGTGCCGGGACGACCCCTTGCGCCACCAGGGAGCCCGATTTACCCTCCATGAGAGGGAGCCTGGCAGCCCGTCGGTGTGTGGCGGCTCCATCGTCTGTCAGTGCTGGGGACGCCGCCCACCCCCACCCTCCGAGCCTAGAAAAGGCGCGAGAAGCTGGAGCCGCCCCTGCGGGGCGCGGGGCGCGTCTCCATGGGGATGCGGGGCGGGGCGGGGCGCGCGCCCAACTCCCAACGGCCGGGCCGGCAGTTCCCCCCGCGCCGCCGCCGCGTGCGCCCTGCCCGTGCGCTCTGCCCGCCCGGCGGCGCCGACCGTTGGGGAGCGGCGGGGCGCGCGCGAGGGGCGCCGGGCGGACGGGCTGTGCCGCGGAGCCGGGAGCACCGCCCGGAGGCCGGCGGGATCGCGGGCTGCCCCGCTCCCGTCCTCGGGGGCGGGGGCTGAGCTGGCAGTGGCAACAGCGGGGACCCGACCTCTGCGTCCCCCTGACTTAGAGAAGGTCCGAAAGCTCCCGGGGCGAGCACCG